TAATTCTTAAGTTATAGATCCTCTTATCATCTTCTAGTCTTTGTATTATTGCTGTTTGTTTTCTTGTTATTTTTAAGAAGTTTTTCATTTCATGCTCCCACTTTACAAATCTGTCCTCCAGTTCTGATAATCTATCCTTAGTTTCTTTCAAGCTGTTATGCCAGTTTTCAATAGAGTTTTTAGTTTCCTGGTAATCTCTTTGAACCTGCTTCATGTATTCTATGCTTTCTCTATTTTCTCCATCAAACAATTTACCCCTCTTTTTCTGTTCTTCCATTCCACCATCTGTTTTTTCTTGGGTGGTGCTTAGCATTTCTCTAACTATTCTGCTTATGTCTAGCTTCAGGTCATTAACAACTTCATTCCTGAACTTGTCTATGAGGCTCTCAAGATAGTGATTTATATCTATTGGTACTGTGTCTGCTATTGCCTCTTTCTCAGGATTAGGGGCTGAGGACCCTTTCTTGTTGCTGCCTCTTCCCATATTCTTTGTTCCTTATATATGCAAGTGTATATAGGAGGCCCAGCTTCCTTCCCTGTTGGCCACAGTCTGATTGAATTGCGCCGGCTAGGTGTTACCGCCCACTGCAGCGCACCAGGAAGTTGCAGACCAGGCAGCCTATGCAGGGCCGCCCCTCCAGGTCACCTTCAGGCGCTGGGACCTGGGCTGTGCTAGCCTACTGGGTCTCAGCCAGCAGCTTCACATAGGCTAGGCACTGCTCACCAATCCCGCTTGAGAGGGGGATACGTGACTGAAGTCACTGCAGCACCCTGTTCCCGCAAGTCTGCCTGGTCCCAGAATGTCCTCTGTTGGAGTCTCCTAGACCGTGGAAGAGTCCCATTTTCTCTCACTCACCGCAGGTCAATGCACAGCTCCCTGTCCATCCTGCTTTCAACTCTGCTCACCGATTCCCGTTCTTAGAGCTTTCACGCGTCTCTCTCCCTGCTGAGCTGATGTAGATGCAGCAGTGGCAGCGGGAAACCCAAATCGCGGCTTCCAATGGCCCGGGCTCCAGCTTCCATACTGAGGCTTTTCTATTCCTGTTATAGCACCAGGATTGCATTCCCAGTTGGTTTCTCTCAGCCCAGTTCGTTCTTGGGTCAGCAGGGCATATCTCTTCTTGCTTATGATTCCTTACTCCGCACCATTCCTGAATTCTAAGCTGGGTCTTTCAGAGAGCCTCCGTAGCTGCTGCTATCTGTCCGCCATGTTCTCCAAAGTCTGTCAACCACATCTTTTTTATCCATTCCTCAGCTGATGGGTATTTGGGTTGTTTCCAAGATCTGGCTATTGCAAATTGTGCTGCTTTGAACATGGGTGCACATATATCACTGTGGTGTGATGTTTTTAATTCTTTTGGGAAAATACACAGAAGGGGAATAGCTAGGCTGAATGGGACCTGTAGCCCTCCTTTTTTGAGGCATCTCTATGCACTTTTTAATCTAAGTGATAGTTCAATAAACATGGCAAGTATAACAGAAACAACAAAATGATAGTTTATGACTTCTGGAGCTAGGTTGTAGAAGGTTTTATGTCTTCATTCTTGCTTTCTTGAATCACTTGCTGTGGAGGTGGGGCGTGAACTATCCCTTGTGAGAACAAATCCCTAACCCTATGGAGAGGTCCACGTAAGGCCCTGAGGTTGCCTGCCAAGAGAAATGTGAAGATGCCATCTTGGGAGCTTATTCTCCAGCTTCAAGCAAGTCTTAATATGACTGAGCCTCTGATGACAACTCAATTACAACCTCCTGAGACACCTTCATCCAGAACCATTCAGCTAAACCACCGTCAGATCCCTGAATCACAGCATCTATGTGAGACGAATGCTTAGTACTCAAAGTTTCTATGTTTTAGAATAATTTGTTATTTTGATAATAGATAATTGGCAGGCATGGTATCTCATACCTATAATCTTAGCACCCTGGAGGCTGAGTTCAGAGGAATTTAAGTCCAGCCTGGGCAACATAGTAAGACTGTCTCAAAAAAAAAAAAAAAAGATAAAACAAGAATTGAGGTTGGTGTCCATTGAATTATTGTTATTTATTTGTATATTGTCACCAGAAGCAGCTGACCTTGTGTAACAGTGGAATGCCCTTTTAAAGGCTCAGTTTTGGTATCATTTGAGGCTAGCCTATAGGTTTAGGGTATTGTTTACGTGCTATAGTGTGAGATCCATACCAGTGGAAATACATGCTAAAATTTCTTCCATCCAAATATTTATTGAGCTAGAAAAAAACGATAGGAAGAAAAAGCTCATAATACTTACAAAATTTTATTTCTCATCCTAGAAACACTGGGTTCTGCAAAGGCTTCTTGCTGACCAATTTCTGCTCTATTTGTTACTGGATAAACTGATCAAACAGGTGTTTCTAGGATTCTGATGTCACATGACTTTGACTACCAATAGAAAATAGTGTTGCTGCTCACAAAGATAGCAGAGAGAATTACAGACAGAGGACTCTGGACTTTCTGCTATGTCCAGTGATGGCAGTTAATGAAAACTGAGAACAGTGTTATACAGTAGGACTGTAAGGAAATTGAATGTCTGATATGAAAGTTTGGGGTTACTGTATCAGGTCAACTCCCAGTCCCCAACAACACAGAACAGTTGAGATACCAGTGACAGACAGAGGGAACATGAATGAGATTTTTTTGTACTGAGGACTGAACCCAGTGGCTTTACACTGAATTATATACCAGAGTCTTTTATTTTTTATTTTGAGCATGTCTTGCTAAGTTGCTGTGCTGCCAGGTTTGCCTCAAACTTTCAGTCTTGCTGCCTCAACCTTCAAATAGCTGGAATTACAGGCATGTGCTACCACAACTGGTATGAATTAGATCTTGGAAACCTACTGATGTCCACCAAGAGTTTGTGGTAAGACCAAGAGGAACTTTTCTGGCAGCAGCCTCCATTACAGCACAGAACAGTTTGTGCCATGATGTGGGTCACTGTGGCTGCTGTGTGCTTTTCTGGTTTTCTGATGTTGGTTCTCCAACAACTTTTTTTTTTAAAAAAAGATATCCTTTATCATTCCCATAAAACTTTTTTGTGGCCTGACTGACAAATACTTGACTTTTGTTATTTGCAAATAAAATTGTGAACAAAGCTAGATTCTAGTCAGTCATCAGAAAATGTCTTGAACCCTGAGCTGGGCAGCCAGCAGTCCTTTCTCTAGCTCATCTCTACTTTTCCCTGTATGAACACATTTTTTCTCTTATATACAGACTTTTGCTTCTTCATCTGTGAGTCACTCAGGAGAAAACTGCAAGCCTCTGGATTTACATGTATCAACCAAGACGTACTGAGAATGCTTTCCTAGCCTTCAGTTTGAGCTCCAGGTTTCTACTCCAATCACAAATTCCCAATGGGCCCGGGTGTGGTGAGACCTGTAATCCCAGAACTCTGGGAGAATGAGCCAGGGGAATCACAAATTCAAGCCCAGCCTGGGCAATTTAATGACTTAGTAAGAAAAATAAATAAAAGGGCTGGGGATGTGCCCTGATGCAAAGGTTCCAGTTTCCATCCCTTGTGCAACAAACAAACAAACACAGTGAAAAACACAACAAAAATGCACCCCTCATTGGGAAGGGAGCAATAGAGTATAAATTGGGTGACTAGAGTCCCCGCACTTTAGAGTTTATAGATTGTGGGGCCATCTGCAGAGAAAGGTGAGCCACCACAAGCTGGGAAGACATTCCAGAAGTCTACTCTAGGAGCGTGGAGTTCTTCAATCATGGCACACCCTGCACTCCTTAATATCTCTCCCTATCTAATTATAGAAAGATCACCCTTTACATCAGATGCTTTAAAGAACCAAGCTGAACTTGTACCGTTACCCTTTTCTCACTTTTCCCCTCCCAACTCCCATCTGCAAATGTGGTTCCGACTATGCAGTAAATGACAAGATACAAGAAACAAGGTGGAGTGGTTTACTCAGATAACATAAGGAGTAGTCCCAGTCTCTTGGCTAAGGAAAATAAGAAAAAAGATCTTTTAATAGTTGACTATCCGGGCCGAGGATTTAAGTGGCATAAGCGCCTGCCCTGCAAGCGTGCAGTCATGAGTTCTATCCCCGGTACCAAAAAAAAAAAAAAAAAAAAAAAGTTGGCTATCCAAGCCCATAAATGTAATCTGAGATCAGTAAGCCATGCAACTTTGAGGTCTAAGGATATATTAGCTGAGAGAAGTCTCTCATCAGATTGCAAGTTCTGACCCAGGAATTAGTTGATAAGCTTTGTGACCATTGTTGGTCCACAAGGATCAGGAAAAAGGTGAAATAATTACTTTGTGTTTGTAAACACAAAGCCTCTAATGAGGCTCTCGGGGATCTAGTCCCAGTGGCTATGGATGCTACTGTCAATAACTATCTGATTCCCCAAACATCCTTGTTGCGGAGAATGGTAAGGACGTGACTATCTGCTCTTCTCTGGCTCAGAACTTGTGTGTCTGAGACTTTCCAATCCTCAGAACAAAGAGAATTGACCAACAACTCCAATGCGAAGGGCACATTACAACACCAGCACTGGCCTCTCCAGGTCCTATCATATTGGAGATACCAATACTTTTTTACTAAGGGGGGTGTTCTCTGAGGAACCACCTTTGCTTATCCTTTGGACCCAGGGAGCAATAGCAAGGTTTGTGAATCCATCTGCCAGTACTTAAAATAAACACAGCAATAATCAGTTGTTTCTCTTGTCCCTGTGAGCTGCCAAAAAGTGGGAGAAAGCTTTTCAGAGATCAATATAACAAAGATCTACATAATTGCAGTGAAAGGCTGTGGGTGTTCCTATATGTTGTCTTAGCATCATGTCTTGTAAAAGCAAAAGAATGAGCCCAGTGGGACCATCATCATCCAGCACTGAGAGGTGACAGAAGACTTGCAACTCTAATGAAGGTTTGGCTAACATGGCCATGGCTAGAGAGTGACTTGTTCCATTTAAGTATGCAGTTTCTGCATTTCTGACCTCAACCTCTCTTCTTTGCAGCTGGACTTAGATTATGAGAAGCCTCAATCAGTCCAGCATCTCCGAGTTCCTCCTCCTGGGCCTCTCCAGGCAGCCCCATCAGCAGCAGCTCCTCTTCCTGTTCTTCCTCACCATGTACCTGGCCACTGTCCTGGGGAACCTGCTCATCATCCTGGCCATCAGTACTGACTCTCGCCTACACACCCCCATGTACTTCTTCCTCAGTAACCTGTCCTTCATGGACATCTGCTTCTCCTCCACCACTGTCCCCAAGGTGCTGGCCAATCATCTGCTTGGCAGCCAGACCATCTCCTTCTCTGGTTGCCTCATGCAAATTTATTTTCTCTGTGTGTTTGCTGAGATGGACAATTTCCTCCTGGCTGTGATGGCCTATGACCGCTTTGTTGCCATCTGCCACCCCTTACACTACACAGCAAAGATGACTCCTCAGCTCTGTGTTTTGCTGGTGGCTGTATCTTGGGTTGTCGCCAATCTGAATGCTTTGTTGCACACTTTGCTAATGGCTCGACTCTCATTCTGTGCAGACAATGTGATCCCCCACTTTTTCTGTGATGTGACCCCGCTCCTGAGACTCTCCTGCTCAGACACATATCTCAATGAAATGATGATTCTTTTTGAAGCAGGGCTGATAGTGATAGCCCCATTTATTTGTATTCTAGTGTCATATATGTTTATAGTTTGTGCTGTCCTGAGGATCTCATCAAGGAGAAGAAGATGGAAAGCTTTCTCCACTTGTGGCTCCCACCTGGCTGTAGTTTTTCTCTTTTATGGCACCATCATATCTCTATATTTCAACCCCATATCCTCTCACTCAGCTGAGAAAGATACTGCAGTTGCCATGATGTACACAGTGGTGACTCCCATGCTAAATCCTTTCATCTACAGCCTAAGGAACAAGGATATGAAAGGGGCTCTTGGAAAAGTCATTACCATAAAATTTTTATCTATTTAATAGTGATTTAGGCTAGCAAAACCATGGAAGATAAAACTAATTCTCCAGAAAATCCTTTTGGTTTTTTCTACCACGTGAAAATTAGCATTTATCTTTTGTAAAAAGAAATGTCTAGTATCTGTCCTGGGAGAGTAAAATCCTTCACATGGACTCTTTAGGTTAAGGGTGCAAAGAGCCCCTTTGATCAAACTACTGTTCTAATTATCAGTATCCTTCTGCAAAAACCCACTGGAAACATAACTGTTGCTGAAAGTGTTGGGTTCATTACTCATTACAACAAAGGAAAATGTGCACCTTTGCGAAATAGTGAAGACTCTCACTAAAAGTGTGCTTAAGGATTTATTGTAAGCCCTGGGTTTTGTGTGACATGATGTTGGAGAGGTAGTGAGTCTTGTTCTCGGTGGGATACTTTTGAATATGTTAATGTATCTCATCTGGAAGGAAGGAAGAATGGACCGAAGCTAGAGCTGTGATTGGCAAAGAAGTTAAGCTACACATATCAGCCATTGTAGGGGGTACTTGGCCACGTTTGTGGCTAAGACAGTATTTGTGTTCCTTGGTGACTACAGATTGGTCTTAATTTGTCTTGCTGTATCACAGTCACGGTGACTTTATTTGATGTTGATGTTCTGTGGAATTCTGTGTGCCCCTTGGAAGATCACCAAGACTGGTAGCTGTGAGGGCCAGGCCGACTATCCCAGATGTTTGAGTTGTTTACTTTTTCTCACAGAGACTTAGATCTAAGTACATCCAGTGGGAAGTCAGACTGGTAATGAGGCAAGAGAGGAAGTGTTTGTTTTGAGCTTTAGGAAATTCTAATTCTTCTAGTCATTTTACCTAATTTCTTTTATCTTCCTGTCTAGCCTTACATTGCAGTAGAAATACGGGTAAGTTAAATAAGAAACAAACGTCTTCCACAATGTCAGTGTCTGGCCATGTCAATCAATTGTGCCTTTTAAATACCTTTTTTCATTTTCTATTCCATTCATATCAATATATGCAGTTTTTTTACTTAGCTAGTGATTTATATTCCGCTTTTGAACTTTTATTTTATAATAAAGCTTTTCCAAGTTACTACATACTTTCTACAATTTTATTTTAACATCCTTATATATTTCTACTTACTAGTGATTTTTTTTCTGAATCAACATAAAGGAAATTTACTGTTTATAAATATGCTTTAAAGCATCTTTTGAAATTACCATGGTGAATAAAAAGTTGGCACATATATGAACTGATTTTTTCTTGTCTTTGACTTGTCAGCGTTTTTACTATGATGTAGCTATTTGTGGGTTTCATTGTGGTTATATTACTTGAAGTTGATTATTTTAAAATACAACCTGGATATATGGGTTGTAGCTTTTAAAAATAAATTTGAGCCAGTTTAAACCATAGTTTATTCAAATACGTCTGTCTCTCTCCCTTCCTTGCTTTCCTTTTAATATTTTATTACATATATTGGGTGCACTTAATACTGCCCACATTTCTTTAAGTCTCTTTATTTCTCTTTATTGTATTTTCCCCTCTCTTCTTCTATTTGCCTAAACTCTATCACTGCACCTTCAATCTTGCTGATTCTTTCACCAGTTCAAGAGTGCTGAATCTCTAATAATGAACTTTTCATTTGTTGACTTTTCCAACTCCAGAATTTCCATTTAGCTTCTTTCTTTCTTTCTTTCTTTCTTTCTTTCTTTCTTTCTTTCTTTCTTTCTTTCTTTCTTTCTTTCTTTCCCCAGTACATGTTTGCAGTACATAATTATTATCACACTTACCATGAGGATTGGTAGATGTGCATAACCCCCCTTAATTCTAACTCTTTCATCCTTCCGTGCTCCTTCCAATTCTTGGTCTGCTTCCTATTTCATTTTTCTTACAATTCTTTCTTCTTCATTCCTTTCCTTCTCCTTTCTCCCCTTCCCTTCATCTCTTGTTCTTCCATCCATTTGAAAAAGATATCTCTATTCCTATTTATCTTTTATTTTACTTCCACTCTCTATATTTGGGTTTCTCATATAAGAGAAACCATGCAATATTCTGCATCTGACTTATTTCATTTCATATTACGGCGTTAAGGTGCATCCAGTTATCTATCAACGTCTCAAGTTTATCTTTCTTTATGGCAGAATAGAACTAAATTGTGTATAAATTCACTTATTCTTTACTTTTTATCTCTTGATGGCCATATAGGCCATTTCCAAGATTTAGCTATTATTTTTTTTTGTCTTTTTCTTTTTTATCTGTACCAGAACTCACGACTGCCTGCTTGTAAGGCAGGCTTTTATGCCGCTGAGCTAAATCCCCAGCCCCAATTTAGCTATTATTAATAATGTTATAAACATGGGTATGCATGTATCACTGTAACATCATAACTTTAACTCTCTCAGAAAGATACCCAGAAGGAGAATAACTGGGTCAAATAGAATTTCTATTTTTAGTTTTTTAAGGAATCTCTATAGTGCGTGTACTAGTTTACATTCCCATCCCCAGTAAGGAAGTTTCTATTTTCCCTCAGGCTTGCCGGAATTTGTTGTTATTATTTTCTTAATGATGAACATTCTCTCTGGAGTAAGATGCTATCTCGATGTTGTTTTAATTTGCATTTCTCTACTGGCTAGTGGTGCTGAAATGTTTTCATGTCTGGGCCACTAGTATGTACTTGTTCTAAGAAGTGACTTTCATTTTAGTTGCCCATATTTTGATTGGCTCTTTTGGTTTTTGGTTGGAGGTCTAATTTTTTTGAGTCCTCTATATATTCTAGATATTAATCTGTCCAATAAATAGCTGGCAAATTTTTCCCATTCTCTTCATTCTGTCAGTTGTTTCTTTTGTTGTGCAGAATCTTTTTAACTTGGTATGATCCCATGTGTTGATTCTGGGTATTATTTGTTGTGCCTTTGGGATTCTGTTCAGACAGTCCTTGCCTATGCCCGTGTCTTCAAGAGTTTTACTTATTTTTATTGCCCAACACATTTTCTTCTCAGTTTGGTGTGGTAGTGTCTTCCTCCTTTCATTATTTAATCAGCTATCTTTTATTTCTGTGAACATTTCATAATGGCTACTTTCAAATATTGTTGTTATGTCTGACATCTGATCCTTCTCAGGCTGTTTCTTACTAGCTATTCTGCTTCTGATATGTAGGTCACAATTTCCTGTTTCTTTAGGAGCCTTCCATTTTTATTTTGTTGTAAAATGGAGATTTTAGAAAATATAGCCTCTCTGGGTACTGGTTCCCTTCCCTATGGAATTTGCTCTTCTTATTTGCTTATTTATTCAGTGATGACTGGATTATTTTAGTGATGTCCTTTCCTCCAACTTTCACAAGAACAATGTTGACGTTGTCTGACGTTGTTCCTCTTGGAAGTGTACTTAGGGCACGCCCATAACCACCCTGGGATGAACTTGAGCTTGGAAGGGCTCTTTTATACTCTTTTCCTGAGTGTAACACATTAGCTGTTAAACTCTAGTAACTGATTGTCCTAATGTTTTGATAGAGCATAAATTCTTCTTCTGAAGATTCTAACCAAATTGTAACTCTTTAAAAGGAACTATTTATGAGGCCCTTGTTTGATGTGTATTCTGGTCCTGAGGAGGGCTCCTCCCAGCTGTCTCACTTGCCAACTGGCAAAATAGTTAGCTTGCACTACATGATGTTAAATAGAGGCAAGACCCTCTTCTCAATTGTCTTTCAGCTCAACTTTCACTGTTCTTAAGAGTGCCCTTAGATATAAACTGTGTTCACACAATATTGCAAATTAAGCATCTTTTTTGCTTTTTTTTTAAAAATTGAGGCAGGATCTCACTATGTCCTTCAGGCTGTCGTTGAACTCACTATGATGTAGTCCAGGATGCCCTTGAGTTTATGGCAATCCTCCTGCCTTGACCTCAGAGTGCTGGGATTACAGGTGTGTGCCACCATGCCTGGCTAAGTCAGTTTCTTTGGAAAGAGACCAGGAGCTGTTTATGGCCTGCTTCTCCCAAGTAAAATCCGTGAGCCAGTGCTCTGGAATTGAGGGTGGAAAACAATGACAAAATTCTGAAGGACATTCGCTCCAGGTGCTACAATCATGGTGGGTGGATAAATGGGTTGGGGGCACAGAAATCTGAGGCCCTCCTACTTTGCTCTCCTTGCATGGCACCATACTCCTACAAGAAGTGTAGCTCTGGGGCTGGGCAGTGTTCTCAGCATGCCATGTTCAGATGTGAGCTAGGCACTACTTCTCGACTGCACTCACTTAGCACTTAAACTTGGAAACTGGAAATTGAAGTAGTATGAACAATGTTAAAATGCTCTAGCTTGGGGCTAGTGGAGGGGAACCCTGTGTTTCTGGCTGCAAAAGTCCAGAACTGAGTTCTGCCTCACTGAACTGGGAGAACAGGAGAGGGCTGGAGTGGTCTTGGTTCAGATATCATTGTCTCTCATCTGTCTCCCTGAGTGCTCATAGATTTTCTTGAAGATTTTTTTAATCTGCTGTTCACTCTTAGGATTATTTCCAGGGGCTTTGGGAGACTTGTACTGGGGAGTGGGTCAGCAGAGATATGTACACTATTAGGCTGGAGTCAGTTTTCCATTTAGTCTGATCTTTTATAAATATAGTACAGTACTATGTTAATAAACAACCTAAGTCTCCATAGTCATTCTTTAATATTTCTGGGGTTAAATTTCTAAAAGTAGACACTCTGGATGATAGTTGATACTGTAATACCTATTTAACAATTATCTTTCAAAGACTTTTTTAGTCCCAAGAATTAAACTCAAGATCTCATACTTCCCAGAAAGGCACTGTGCCATTGAGCTATATCCTCAGCCCTTTTCAGATAGTTTTGGTCAAACTTTTTTCTAGCAGGGAATGAGTCTGCCATCTTATCATATCCTCATTAGTCCTAGGTATTTTAATTTTTCTAAAATTTTGCCAGCTTATAAACTGTCCATTCCTCCAATCTCCACTGTACTGAATTTTTAATTAAAAATCTTTACTGTGGAAAGTTTCAAATACACACAA